ATGGGAAAGGATGGGGGATGGTGGTGAGCACAGCTGCTGGGAAAAGTTGTTTTTTTTTTTTCTAGCAAAGCTGAAGAGATTTGAGAGTGGGACTCAGGTGAGATTGGAGTGTTGCAAAGAGTAGAAGATATAAAGGTCTCCAGGGCCGAGATCTGGCCTCTTGGACTTCCTCTGTGCATGCGAACACTGTGGGTTCTCACTTTTCAGGTTGGCTGCTACTCCAGGCCTCCTGCAGAATCCTCACAGGAGGAGAACCTCTGACTTTGAGGTGTCAGGGCTGGGAGAACAAGCTGGGGTACAATGTGATTTTCTATCGAAATGGAAAATCCTTTCACTTTTCTCGAGATTCTGAGGTCACCGTTCCGGAAAGCAACTCGAGTCACAATGGCATCTATCACTGCTCAGGCATGGGAAGAACCCAAGGCTACACCTCTGCCGGAGTGTCTGTCACCGTGAAAAGTATCCGGTCTAGATAAGAGTCACAGCTGGAAGGGACCAGAAAAGCCACTACAAAGCATTAAAGTCCTCACCTGACTTACAAAGGAGGAAACTGAGTTTCCCCCCAAAGGCCACCCAGCCACCACTGCCTGGGCCGGAACCGGAACTAGGGCTCGGTCCCCACCCATTCCTCTTTCAGCGTCCACAACGGCCCATCAGTGATCACAGGAGCGCAAGTCAAAGTCAGGGGACAGAACTACACACTTCGTCTGTTTATTTTAGCTGCTAAGGCCAGAGACTCACTCATTCAAGGTAGCCAGAGTTACTAGAAAATAATCCAGCCAAACCTCATGACATTTCCATAGAAATTCCATAGAAGCCAGAAAGACGTTAGGAATTGGATTTACTTTCCATTTATGTGTCAGGGATACACAGCCTCTCTGAACTCCCTTCTTTTTAAGCTTCTGCAAACCAAACAGTTTCCTCTGTCCAATTTGCACAAAGTCTTTAACTCTTTCTATGACTTATCTTCTTAGTGCTCAAACGCACTGGCAAGGTATTCCTTTGCAAAAAAAAAAAAAAAAAAAAAAGCAGCTCATTTTTGTGGGGAAGAAATGACTGTCCCAGCTTGTCTTTTGAATAGCACAACCAATGGATGACTTGGCTGGCAAGTGCCTGTTAGTGTTGACTCTGGGTTACTGCCATGGGGGTCCATGGTTCCCTAATAAATGGTGCCACGCAGGGGAGAGCACACAGTGTAACTGGGAAGCCCCTCAGCTAGTGACCAGTCGTGTCTATTAGAATATAGGCCTCTCTCTTGGAAATGGGGAAACTCATTTTCTTGGGGCAAGATTCACAAAGGGGAGTCTCGTGAAAAGGCCACTGACACTGAACGGAACAACCCTGTCCCTTCAACTTTCTCTTTGGAGCTATTTGCAGCGCCCGTGCTGAGAACGACCTTGTCATCTCCCGTCCTGGAGGGGAGTCTGGTCACCCTGAGCTGTGAGACAAAATTGCTCCTACAGCGCCCTGGCTTGCAGCTTCTCTTCTTCTACGCGGGCAGCAAGATCCTGGAGGAGAGGAACACATCCTCAGAGTACCACACAGCAAGTGCTGGAAGAGAAGATTCTGGATTATACTGGTGTGAGGTAGCCACAGCGGACGGCAGTGTCCTCAAACGCAGCCCTGAGTTGGAGCTTGGAATACTTGGTGAGCTGGAGGGACGTGGGGGCTGGTGTCGCCCAGCCGGAAGGGAGCAGTTCATGAGCAGCTCCGTGCTTCGTTCAGAACTGCGCTGTTTTCCTCCACTCTGCCCTGCATTTCCGCTCCCCCTTTCCTGTCTGTCACTTTTCCTGTCTTTATCCCCTTCTTCCCTCCTCTTCCTCTTCCTCCTGTTGGTTCCCTTCATTTCCTGTCTCTCCTTCCTGCTGCTCTTCCTCATCTTCTCTTTGCTTCTGCACCCACTCACCTACTACAGAAAATGTCAGGGCGTCTTAGGGTTTCTCCTGCTGTGATGAGACGCCGTGACCAAAGGCAAGCTGGGGAGGAAAGGGTTTATTTGGCTCACATTTGCACATCACTGTCCATCACTGAAGGAAGTCAGGACCGGAACTCAAGCGGGGCAGGAACCTGGAGGCAGGAGCTGATGCAGAGGCCATGGAGGGGGGCTGCTTTCTGGCTTGCTCCTCATGACTTGCTCAGCCTGCTTTCTTATAGAGCCCAGGACCAGCAGTCCAGGGATGGCACCACCCACAATGGGCTGTGCCCTCCTCCATCAATCACTAATTAAGAAAATGCCACAGAGCTGGAGGAGGCATTTTCTCAGTTGAGGTTCCCTCCTTTCAGGTAACGCTAGCTGTGTCAACTAGACATAAAACTAACCAGGACAAGGTGTGTGCTTTGATGATGGAGTCACGTGATAGCAGAGAGGCAGGCACTTCCTCTCCTGGAGGACTAGGGGTTGTCAGGGTCTTTGGTGGGAATGGGGGTCCCCTTTCCCTACTTAGGGTTGCTCAGTTTAGACAAAGAAAGGGAAGCTGATGAGCACACAGCTTTGGGCAAATACCTGACCAGCATGTGGTGGAGGGGGGCGGGCATGACCCTCCGTGGTCAGCTGTAGGGGGCGCTACGGCGGGAGAAAGAGCAGCCGGCCTTGTCTCTGGTCAGAGGGATGAAAAAGAAGCCAGAAGTCTCCCTCGGTGTGATTTTGCTTTCAAATCTGTTTTCACTCAGTCCTGCCTACAGACCTGCGTCTGAAGGCCAGGACGTAGAATTTCTCTGGTTATCAGGAGAAGTAAAATCATGCTGACAAATGACAGGCGCTTCACCGGGCCACTTCGCGAATTTCTCAGCGAAGGGAGGGTTGGTAGTTACCTCACTGGCCCGTTACTCCGTCCATTTCCCCCTTGCACGCAGACGTGTCCAGCCGCTTGACATCCCGACACCTCCCAGTGAAGTTACAAAACAGAAATGGGCCAGGATTTAGATCCTTGACAGGCTGTCACACAGGACTCCTGACCAGAGACAAAGACCTGACCACTGGGTGGGCTTTTCCTCCTGCCAGCAGGGCCCGGCAGCGCCGTCCAAGTTAAGGCCCGATTCGCACATGTTTATCCAGAACTGTGGGCCTATCCGTTTCTGTCTTTATTGAAATCGACCCGCCCTGAATTAGGGGAAGACCCCTCAAAGGTCCTTAGGCCTCAACCGCTCCCGAAGAGGCGGGTTCCTGAGATCATTCCCATCTTTCTGTGTGCCCAGCTCTGTGTGCTCTTCCTCACCCAAATAAAAACCTTCCTTCACCGGCTGATTCTGTCTGCTGGGTCCGAGATTTGCCCTTTTGCTACCTGTCCCGCAACGTATTTCCTGCCTTTAGTTCTTTAAACGGCACAGAAAACAAAACTCAATCAAGACTCCTAGATAGTCACAGAAAGAAGAAAAACAAAACAAAACCCCAAAACAAACAAACAAACAAAAAAACCAAAAACCCCTCGGGGGCGGCGTGACTCGCTGGCGCCCTCCCGTGGCCACCTGGGCACACTGCAGCCAGCGTGCGGCCGGGTCGCCGTTGACGATGCTCGCGGACCCACGTGACCCGAACCTTGTGAATAATTGCTTCCCCCCAGCTGGCAGGAGCGAAATGATCTAGATTGGGTCCGCGGCAGCAGAAAGCATGTGGAAGAAGGCCGTGCGTGCCCGGTTCCCCCGGTGCAGGGAAGGGCGCCCACTCGCGGGCGGACTCAGCTGATTGACTTCACAGCGGCGTGAGCTCGGCAGCACCGAGGCTGGCAGGAGTGCGCAGCCGCAGAGCTACCCGGAGGGCTAGGCCGATTAGCGCGCCCTCTAGTGGCCACCTTTGGGCTCGCAGTCGAGGAGGAGACTCAGTCTTCCCACCTAGCTCGCTCCGAGGCTCCCGCCGGAGACGCCTGGGAGCCAGCAGAAGACAGCGACCTCCGCCTCCTCCGTGTCCAGCGTACACAGCCTCCCCGCTGCTTCCAGCATAGTCGGAAGGAAGGAAACCTGGATCAGCCGAGCCAGCGAGCCGGCACCACCCCAGTGGATCCCTAATGAGAAGTTTCCTGAACCGAGAATGAGGCATCCCGAAGGCATCTGATGCCCTGATGAGGAGGAGAGTGGGTCGGCCTGCCTTTTGGGGGAGGTGTGGTGTGGTGGTGGGAGTCTTCCTTGCTAGACCTGGGCAAGAGGGTCTGGCTTAGTCTTGTAATGAACTACCAGGGCTTCCATGCCTGAGTACAAAGCAGGCAATTGGTTAGGAGGATGGATCAGGATGGTGGTGTCACTTTCCAGGCTCGCTATGGAGAACCACAAACTCATTCCGGGGTGGGGGTGTCTGGGCCCATAGCAGAATGCTCAGAGGTTTCTAGGGGGATAAAACAGGAATAGCCGAATCCATTCAGGGCGTTCCATTACTCAGTACCTTCAGAATTTATAGATTATCCCCTAGGAGGGGTCTACGATTAGCCCAGCTCTACCCAGTGATTCTAAGCCGGAAGAAAGAATGGAGATACTGCTGGTAGACGGCCCTCAGGGGTGGGTGAGACCCTCACTGCCACAGACTAAGTCAGGGGCTGACCGGAGAGGGGGAGGGGCAGCTTGTGCTGGAGAGTGCCAGTGGGGCTACTGAGAAACGGTCACATAGATAATGTTTTGGAGGAAGGGTCAACAAAACTTTCTGATTCACTAACAGGAAATGAGAGAAAGGTGGTGGTGGGCGTCTTGGCCCAGAACATTAAACATTCCAAATTGCAAGTTGGTAGAACAGGGCAGGAAGGTATAGAAAGCAGCAAGAATTTTGGATGAATACATTATTTAAGATTCTTTTTTTTTTTTTTTCTTTCGAGACAGGGTTTCTCTGTATAGCTTTGGAGCCTGTCCTGGAACTCACTTTGTAGACCAGGCTGGCCTCGAACTCAGAGAGATCCACCTGCCTCTGCCTCCCGAGTGCTGGGATTAAAGGCATCCCACTGTTTAAGATTCTTTTATCCATCGTCTCGTCTCCCTGGCTGGTCTGGAACTTGCTCTGTCTATACAGACTACTTACCTAGTGCTGGGATTCCAAGTGTGCCCTGCCATGGGATGGGTGCTGGAGACTGAACGCAGGACTTCCTGCAGGCGGGGCAAGCACATCCCACACTGAGCTGCACCCCCACTTCCCTTATTTAAGATTCTTATTAAACCTAAACATTAACGTTGAGTCTAGAATGTTGGACTCCGGAATATGTGACTTCATCAGTGTAAGTGGACGAATGCACATAGAAAGTCTGAGCTTTTTGCTCTGTAGATTTTAGAGGCTGGGTAGAATGCCAGAGAAGAATTTGATAAAGGGCTGGGTATGGTGGCACACACCTTTAGTTCCAGCACTTGAGAGTGATCTCAGTGAGTTCAAGGCCTGGTATACAGGACAGCCAGAGCTATATAATAGGGGAATCCTGTCACCAAAAACAAGACAAAAGAAAACCCCACAAAAATATAAATAAAACAGAGAATATTTGATAAGGAACTGCTGGGAAGGGGGAGGAAGAAGTCTTAGAAAGATTGGGAAGTGCCGGGCAGTGGTGGTGCACGCCTTTAATCCCAGCACTCGGGAGGCAGAGGCAGGTGGATCTCTCTGAGTTAGGCCAGCCTGGTCTACAGAGTGAGCTCCAGGACAGGCTCCAAAGCTACACAGAGAAACCCTGTCTCAAAAGAAAGAAAAAAAAAAGATTGAGAGGGAACCATACCAATTTTTCATCAGAATGTTTAATATGGAGAAGGATTGCATTAAACCTGCAGATGAGTGTTTCTGTGGGGGGGTCAAGGAAGGAAGGACAGGTGGGGGGGTCAAGGAAGGAAGGACAGGCATCATGATGTTGACTTTCCTAAACTTGACAAGGCATAATCTCCACTTGCTCATGCCATTGTTTGTATCTTACAGTGGTGGTAGAATTTTCCTTCTAGAAGTATTAGAACCATGCTCTACATCTTCCATCTGTGTGAAATGGAAGGTAGAATCTCAAGTGATGACTATGTCTCATAACCGTAACACTGTAAAAATTAACCCTCATATGGAATTAATATACAATGAACTGATATAATTGTATATTAAGGTTGGCAATGAAAAGCAGGATTCTACTCTCTCCCTACTCGCCACTCCTCACCCTTCCCTAAACCCCAAAACACTAGGATGTAGAAAATCTGGGACTCCATAAGGTCTTTTTGGGCAACCATGCATAGAGACACGTGCCTGGAATTCAGCATTCAGGTAGAGGCAGGAGGGTCAGAAATTCAAGATCATCCTTAATACTTCAGGAGTTTGAGGCCAGCATGGGCAGCTTGACATCGTGTCTCAAAAAAAAAAAAAAGGTTCATAGAGTATAGTGTTGACTGGTTAGTTGGTACAAAACTCAAAGCCAATAGAATTGCTTGTTCCACATCTTGCCTTCCCTTCTTACCCATGTGACATCGAGGACACACTCCGTAACCATTCAGCCTTACAAAGGTTAAAAAAAAAAGTAACTTGTAGAGAGGGAACATAATGTCCCAGGGAAAAACTGGCAGACATGATATGGGAGCTACCGGGGAAGGAAAATTGCTAAAGACCAGAAATAGTTGGCTAAGGCATTCTGGGGAATTAAACACAAAATCTTCAGATGTAATGTTTGCTGACAAGATAATGTTGAGGAAGCAGTGGCCTGGTCTCAACTTGACTATGACTCTGAGGACCCACTGGAAAGACACAGAAAGAGTCGAATGAATAGCATTTTCATAGCTTACAAATACCACACTTATTTAAAAAAACATAATGATTTCTAACTTTAATTGAGTCATATCCTAAGCGTTCCCAAGTTTTGGTCACAATAAGACAAAATTCAGATTTTAACCCTAGATTTCATAGCTCCTTCACTTCATATCCTAATTCATTCTGCTATAAATATAATAGAGTAGATCTTTGACTGTCTTTTCAGCTTCTCCAATATATATATATGTATTTTATTGTAAGACTTATTTAATTGTATGTGTATGGGAGTTTGGCCTACATGTGTATGTGCCCCATGTGTGTGCAGTACCGGAGGAGGCCAGAAGAGGGAGTCAGATCCCCTGGAGCTAGAAACACCAACAGTTGTGAGCTGCCATACAGGTGCTAGGAATCTAAAACCTATACCCTCTGGAAGAGCAGCCAGTGCTTTTAACTGCTGAGTCACCTCTGTTATGAATTACGCATGTGTGGGAAACCCCCAGCTGGCCTGGCCAGGGTATCCCACTCTTGCAGGGAACCATGCTGGCCTGCTGGGCAGATGCAGTGGTGGGCTGGCAGGTGACTCACTCCATGAGGGCATGCAGCGGGGTGGTGGGTGGACATTCATAACCCAGACACCACATCTGCACGGAAATGGTTTATTATAATAGAGAGGCAAAGAGAAGAGAGAGAGAGGTCTAGAGATGCATACCTCACAGGAGTGGAGCGGGAGAGGGAGGGAGGGAGAGAGACAGAGAGAGGGGTAGGAAGGGACAGAGTTCTTCCTTCAGAAGAGGCTTCTATGTCAGGACACAGGGCTGCCCAAAGGGGCGGGATTTCAAGGGGCAGGTCAGAATATTAACCATCTCTCCAGTTTCTTTCCTTTAGACAGTCTCCTTTTCATGGAGCTACTTTAGGCATGGTGGTGCAGACTTGTAATCCTGCACTCACCGGAGGCTAAGGCAGAAAGATTAAGATTTTGAGATTAGCTGAGGATTTATCTTATTATTGTAGCCACCTGAGAACACTGCTTAGAAACGGGTTTAAGCCAAGAGAAAGTCTTTATCAGCCAACCAGCAACTATACCGGGTGTTGGGGATCCCAGTTTAGCACAAAGCCTTTTCAGGGCGAGCTTTTAAGCACGAAAATCACATTCTGGTCGACATACTTCAGTTAACAAGAACAATTAGCCAGAAGCAGAACTATAAAAGCTAAAAAGCAAGGTTAGAACATTTGAGACTTTCCCAGAACTATGGATTTAGATGGATTAGGCCTTTGCTTTCCTTTTGACATGTGTCCTGTCTGTGAACTGAGTTTCATGGCCTGAATGGTATTTCCATCATGGAGTCAGTTGTGCTAAGGTCTGAGGTCCTGTTACATTTATCAAAAACAAAACAAAACCCCAATGAACTGGACAAATGACTCAGTGATGAAGAGTATTTGGCTGTTCTTCCTGAGGACCTGAGTTCAGTTCCCAGCAACCACACGAGGGCTCATAACCATCTGTTACTCCAGTTCCGGGGGATCTGGCACCCTCCTCTAAACTCCCTGGGCACCAGGTATGCATGTAGTGAACATACTTCACACAGGCAAAAGACTCATTCACATAATACAAACAACAACAAAACCAAACCAAGCCCCAAGCACATACCACTTAACATATCCTCTGCATTTAAGGACATACCTTATCTCGTTCACTGCTGAGCTCAGGGAACAGTGTCAGGGAACGGTCTGGGTTTATCGGTTAATTCAGTCTTCGTAGACTAGGGAAGTCTTTGCTATCCTATTGATTCTGTTCTTACTCAGACTGACTCTACTATCCTTCCAGTTCAAAAGCTTAACTCAGCCGGGTGGTGGTGGCGCACGCCTTTAATCCCAGCACTCGGGAGGCAGAGCCAGGTGGATCTTTGTGAGTTCGAGGCCAGCCTGGGCTACCAAGTGAGTTCCAGGAAAGGCGCAAAGCTACACAGAGAAACCCTGTCTCTCAAAACCAAAATAAATAAATAAATAAATAAATAAATAAATAAATAAATAAATAAATAAATAAAAGATTCCCACTTTCCCTGAAGTCCATTCCTTGTGCCCATCTCGGCCTCCTGAGTGCTGGGGTTAAAGGCCGGCACCACACTCGCCTTCCTGCAATCCATTCTTAGCCTGATGTGTCCTCTGCTTACCTGCAGATTCCAGCACACGGAATTGCTATTCTAAAGACGGTGCGGCTTTGATTTTGAAATCCCTTTTAACCTGTGGACTTTTCCGTATGGCATCGATTGTGGGGGTATGCTTGTTTTATTATTATCAGTGAGTGTATCCTTTATGATTTTAATGTCCCCAAAGTGGTGGCAGTTTTGGTCAATGTTCTGTGTGAGTTTGAAAATAATGCAAACTTTGAATACAATATAGTGTAGACATGAGTTATGATTTAGTCTTGTGAGATATGTTTTCCAAAATCCTTATATCCACAATGGAGGTTTCAGTCAACTTGGTCACTTCCTGGAGATTGTATAAATATTATTCTCAATTTTAAGATGAGGAAACCTTCCCAATCAGACCTCAGAGTAAGCCACACAGCAGCAGGCTTGTTGTATAGTGCACACATGGGGTTTTAGGAATTACTCTTCTACATCTACACCATCTTTCTACACTTCCAGGGATGGTCTGCACATGTAGTTTTGTTGAAAACTACACCTGAAAATTGTGGGTCTGATCAATCTGAGGGACTCGGCCAATGCTTACAATCTCAAATATAATTTTTGCTTTTGAAGTAAGGAGGTCACGGTGTAGCCTTTGCCTGTAGGTTAGGCTGGCCTTGAACTCATAGTGATCCACCTGCCTCTGCTGGGATTAAAGGTGTGTGCCACCATACTCTGCCAAATATTTCTTCATGCTAGGAAGTTTCTTAGTTTTGATTTGTCTTTATAATCTGTGCAGCTTGACTTTCTCCTCAGAACTGAGCCAAAGCCTTCTCAGTTATGACCCTATTTTAACACACTTGAACCATCACAACTTAAGATAAATTTGGCTAGACAGAGGGAAAAATTATTTTTTCCTTCCCTGTAGGCAAATGATTGGAATTGAAGTTTTACTGTGATGAACTCTCCTAACATCCTAAAAATCCTATTTTTTAATTATCCTTTGCATTTCCAAATGTTTGAGCACTCAGGTCAGAAAGTGATTTCTGAGAATCACTCTCTCCTTCGATCAATTGCCTCTGTCCCCAGGATCAAACTCAGGCAGCCGGGCAAGCACCTTCACACACGGAGCCATGCTTGCCAGCCCTCAGATTGGAGTCTTAACGTATTTGTTTTTGTTTTCCAGGGGTGTGGGGAAGGGAATGGTCATTGGGAACAGTTTCTACCATCCAGTGTCTGGAGACCAGTATGAAACTATGACAACCCAAGTTTAGATACTTAAAATGACTTAGGGAAAAAAAAAAAAAAAAAAAAAAAAAAAAAAAAAAATAAAAAAAAAAAAAAAAAAAAAAAAAAACACAAAAAAACCCAAAGCCAACAGAGGAATTGACAAGCAAATCCTTCAGATTTTCAGTGTGGACACCTCAGAAAACCAGGCTATTCCCTCGGATGGCTAGCTAACCCCATTGTTCATATGTGCATACAGTCATTAGCACACCTTTTTCCTGTTTGTTATTCTCCATGAGTCTTGACTAAGTAGCCAAGCTGGATGAAATACAGTATCAGGGAGCCGGAGAGATGGCTCAGAGGTTAAGAGCTCTGGCTGCTTACAATTCCCAGCACCCACGTGGCAGCTCACAACGTAACTCCAGTCCCAGGGGACACCACATCCATGGCAAAACACCAATGAAAAATTTAAAAAATTTAAAGAAATGCAGCACCAGAAAGGAAACAGCAGAGATGAGTTGTGGGTAACTTCTTTTCTCTTGGCTCCCCTTTGTGTTAAATCACCAAAATTCAGAATTGTCAACTAAAAGCTGGGAAAGGAGTGTTTAATAGAAGTACTTTTCCTCCTGAGGGTACTGATGTGAAATACGCCATGCTTTTTTTTTTCCCCCAAGGCAGAGTTTCTTGTGTAGTCCTGGCTGTCCTGAACTAGCTCTGTAGATAGATCAGGCTGGCCTTGAACTCAAGAGATCCGCCTGAGTGCTGGGATTAAAGGTGCATGCCACCACCACCCAGTTTACACCATTTGATTGTAAGCTATTACCAGAAACTTGCCAAAGATTATATAGACAGGGTCTCACTCTGGCTGGCCTAGCTATGAATTTGCCCTCTAGAGTGCTGGATTTAAAGGCATGGGCCACCATCAAGTTAAAAAACCCACTTTCCCCGCTACTGGGTCACATAAAAGATACTTTCGAAGTTCCTGCGGAATCACGTCCTGCAAGAGGTCTAGACGCCTTACTGGAAAGATGATGTTTTATACAGTAAGGAGTTTAACACAAGATGCTTAGGGAAGCGGCCTTAGAGAGCTAAAAATCCACGAGCGAACTTGTTGGAAAAGAAAGCGCTGGAGGTGCAACGGCTCCTGCGTGGCTTCCCACCCGACCCACTGATAACTGCTTAACTGGCTCCAGCTTTAAGTCCATTATCTCATTAAACCCTAACCAACCTAGAAAGGGCTCCGTTTCATTTTGACAGGAAGAGAATAAAGAGGAAGAGAAAACCTGAGGAGCATTCAATTCTTGGTGAGGGTTAGGACTCAGTCTCAGTCCCGCGGTGTACACCACCGTTAGAGCTCACAGAAAAGCCAGTTACGCTGTGAAAACTGCTCCCAAGCTGATGCTGACCTTAAAAACACGCGTGGAGTCAGTCCGGCAGCGAAATGGCGCAGCAGGCAGGACTTGGCGCCAAGCCGTTCTCACCCACCCCACCCCACCCCGCCGCCCAGAACATGGGGTAGGAGGCAGGCGAGACTCCAAGCACTTTAATTTCATACATGCTTAGAACTTAAAGCCTATGGGGTACTCAACCTTTACCAAGCAATCCTAATAACTTAAACTGGAAGGATCCAGTTTGATGAATTAGAGTAGCATTTTAACAGTTTCTGAAGACCATCCTGCTCAGCAGCCCTGGGTCCACAACAGCCCGATGCCAGGGACTGCCCCCGCATCATGCGCTAGGCAGACCTAATGATTTCCGGATGCCCCAAGGCAGTGAGGGACTAACTGCAGCTTGAAGTCACAGGAAATGGTAAGGTTAACTCGAGGTTGGCTCAGCCCACAGTAGCAATATCTAATAAGCTAAGTGGGGAAGAGTGCAGACTTCTCTCTCATCATGTACGTGATGCGCCAGGCTCTGCCGCGCCCTACCCGCCCAAGATTATTTGAAACGCTCAGTATTGCACCAGAGCCCCGCAGGCAGACAGTCACCGCCCCATCTTACCTAAGCAAGAGATCATAGGTTATTAGTGGTTACAGCTCTTTCTTGGAGAGCTGAAGTGGCTCTGAAAAGAGCCTTTGGGGTAAAGTCGATCAATCACGTCTTGGCTGCGCTTTACTTGGAGCTGGTGTACTTGGTGACGGCCTTGGTGCCCTCGGAGACGGCGTGCTTGGCCAGCTCCCCGGGCAGCAGCAGGCGCACGGCCGTCTGGATCTCCCGGGACGTGATGGTCGAGCGCTTGTTGTAGTGCGCCAGGCGGGAAGCCTCGCCCGCGATGCGCTCGAAGATGTCGTTCACGAAGGAGTTCATGATGCCCATGGCCTTGGACGAGATACCGGTGTCCGGGTGCACTTGCTTCAGCACCTTGTACACGTAGACGGAATAGCTCTCCTTACGGCTGCGCTTGCGCTTCTTGCCGTCCTTCTTCTGTACTTTGGTGACGGCTTTCTTGGAGCCCTTCTTGGGAGCAGGAGCAGACTTGGCCGGGTCCGGCATTTTCCTCCGCGTTCAAAGACTCACCGCAAAATGGACGAGGAGAGAACGGAGTGTGGCAGCGCGGCTGGTTCTGCGCTACTTATAGAGCTCGTATGCAAATGAGGGCTCTCACAGCACCACGTTCTTATTGGCTCATTTACACTGGTGTTAGCGTCAAGTAGGCGGAGCCTACGCAGAGAGCGTCTGGCTGCGCGCCTTGATGGTGGTTAAAGCAAAATCTCCCCAGCCAATCGCAGCCCTCCCTTTCCTGGTAGCCGGTAAATGAGCTGCAGTTCTCCCTTCACCTGTCCGTCTCCCTTGCACTCATTGGTTGGTTCCTAAGCACCAGGTTGAAACAAGTTAACTTTTCCTTTTATGGGCTATCCTGCTGGATGGTTGACTTGAAATTGATTTCCGGCGGTCGTGCTTCCACCCGAGAACCCGTGTCTCCTAGAGTTCCTCCCTGGCCCGACACCCAGACGGACGGAATAAGATTCAATCTTATATGTTAGGTCTGACACACTTGGGGATGTGCTTGGAATACTGGGAATTAAAGTTCAGGTTTTGCCTGACCCTCATTCAAAGCTGACACAGCTGCTCTTAATGACAACGTAGGTGGCTCTGAAAAGAGCCTTTTTTTTTTTAATGTCCACGTTATAGAAACGCCACCTAGGCCCGCTCCCCGCGGATGCGGCGGGCCAGCTGGATGTCCTTGGGCATGATGGTGACGCGCTTGGCGTGGATGGCGCACAGGTTGGTGTCCTCGAAGAGCCCCACCAGGTAGGCCTCGCTCGCCTCCTGCAGCGCCATCACGGCCGAGCTCTGGAAGCGCAGGTCGGTCTTGAAGTCCTGCGCGATCTCGCGCACCAGGCGCTGGAACGGCAGCTTGCGGATCAGCAGCTCCGTCGACTTCTGGTAGCGCCGGATCTCGCGCAGCGCCACGGTGCCGGGCCGGTAGCGGTGCGGCTTCTTCACGCCGCCCGTGGCCGGCGCGCTCTTGCGGGCAGCCTTGGTGGCCAGCTGCTTGCGCGGGGCCTTGCCGCCGGTGGACTTGCGGGCAGTCTGCTTTGTGCGAGCCATGGTTTTGCGACTTTGGCTTGCTGGCGCCTAGTGGCCATATTTATAGACTCATCTTCGTCTTGATTGGGCCAGAAAAACAGGAGTTTCTGGACTTGGAGTCTGATTGGGTAGAATTCGATCCCATTTGCCGAGTCACCAGATGGTTACACTGCCCCTTCTTTCCCCGGTCCTTTTCCCTCTTCCTGTATTTACGGCCCACGGAGCGTTCTGGAAAGGTGGTTCTTTTCAGTTGCTTTAACTTTTCTGAAAGCAGTGTGTAGTGTTTCGCACACTGTGTTCGCTAACCGGTTCCTTCGGAAACAAGCTTGCCTCTTTCCTATACGGCGGCTCAATTTGTCGCCGGTCACCAGTTACTGTAACTTCTCCCACAGTCAGCATTTATTAGCATCAGGCACGGTGCCCCGCGGTTTGGAAACTTTTATAACCAAAGCTGAAGAATGACGAAGCAATATATAGTGAAAGGGCCCAAAATTAAACTTACATTGTATCTACTTCTGCCTACACTGACCCTTGTGAGGTCTGACTCCCCTGCCTTCCCTCCTCTCTAGTACCCCCCACCTCATCCCTACACGAAAGACCAATTAAGTCCTGCAAATGAAATTATTTGTCAAAGAAGGATAAGATTAGAAGTATTAATAACCTCCTTTCCCATAGAGAATAGCTGCTAATCAAGCCCTTATCATTCAGGCGACACGTTAACAAAACTTTCAAAGCAAACAAGTCGTTTATTGACTGAGGTGCTAACATATTTTCTCCCACAAAGAGTAACTGTTTTATTAAATGTCTTATATTTTCCATATTCTTCCCAAGGTCAGTGAAGTTTTTTCTTTTTTCTTTTTTTTTGAACCTTTTAGCTATTTGACATGTTTTGGAAAGTGCATGTTATAATGGTTTTATGCAATTCTGCTAACTAATATAAAACTTTCAACAGCATGTCTGGTGGTTTTTGTTTTTTGTTGTTGTTTTTTTTTTAGCATTACATACAACCCTTATAAACACTCAAACCTAGAAACAAAAAGAGAGCCAAAATATTTAAAACTTACCTGAATGGTGCCATTATGTATTGTCTTCTTGCTGAAATCCAAGTGAAATGAAATTGATTTTAAGGGGATTCCAAAATACTAAGCACATGTAGAAGTGTGGTAGTTCGATTAATTTCTTTAAGAATCTCTCAGGAGCAGAAGCAACCTCCAAAATGGGACACAAAAGTATCGCTGATGTGAACTGTTACCCCTTCCTGTTGGTCATTTTCCAATAACGTTTTAAGCATAGATAGCAACGCTCTGTTTAAAAGTAGTTCCAGGTCAGTGAGCAGAGCTTTGAAGTACAGAAACATTTCCCTATTACGCAGCCAAACCATCCAGAACACCTCAAGCTTCTCTGATGAGCTTTCCCATAGGAAGGGGAAACTGCCCCGTGGAATCTGGATGGTGCTCACTCAACTGCCACGTTTCCTTGTAAGATTTTCTTTGTAGTGTATGCACTGGAGTATAATGTATGTGTGGGTTCATTTAAATCAGAAAGAGATTCTCAAACTCCATACGCTAATGCCCCTTTCTGAGTTTGTTTTTTTCTCTGTGTAGTTTTGGTGCCTGTCCTGGAACTCACTCTTATAGCCCAGGCTGGCCTCGAACTCACAGAGATCCGCCTGGCTCTGCCTCCCCAGTGCTGGGATTAAAGGTGTGTGCCACCACTGTACGGCTTTCTGAGGTTTTGATTTCTGCCTTCAGCAGTGTTGAGGTAATATTACGTGAAAATTTTCAGAATAAAAAAGTCAGGAGTTTTACATTGCATGCATATCCCTAGTACAGTGATGAAATCTCATGCCTTCTTACCCAGGACATAAATCACCCCCTCCCATCCAGCACATCCCCACATCATCTGTAAAGGCCTCAAGTGCTTGAGTTCACGTAACCCTGATCTTGTGCAATAAGGACTCCAAAGTGCAAACTTTTTACTAAAGAATGCGATCGGCATTGCTCTATCTTACTATTGAGTTTTTGATCTTTTTCTGGTCCTAATTTATAAGTTAAACTTTAATATAATCATATATACATATACTATAGGGAAACATATAGTGCCATGTAGTTATATGTAATACACAGCATTATCTGTATGCTTAGGCATTGGTTGGAGATCTTGGACTGAATTCTCTGAGAGTAAGAGAAAGCTGCTGTATTCAAGTATAGAATCCAAGAGTTGTAGGCCTTATTTTATGTAATAGTCAATAAGAAAATCCCAAGAGTCTTCCTCTTGTCTAACTTTTAAAATTATGCTTGTAAGAGTTTTCTATTTTTCAGAAACAGGGATGCCACGGTGAATGTGAATTCTAAGGCAAGAAATTAGACATAAAAAAGGAAACTTTCAAGGCTTATCAGGACCGCTTCCTAAAATACAATAATCCAACAGGAGGTGGTGGCCCACACCTTTAATTCCAGCACTCAGGAGGCAGGTAGATCTCTGTGAGTCCCAGGCCAGCCTGGTCTACAGAGTGAGTGAGTTCCGGGACAACCAGAGCTACATAGTGAGATCCTGTCTCAAAACAAAACAAATTACAAGGGCCTGAAGATTAGAGACGGAGAACTGAAATTTTATAATTGGGGCGGTACAAGAAACTTAAAAATTTCCACGCAGCAAATAAGCAAACACAATTTAAATAAATGATTTATTGGGCATGTGGTATTTTATATGTGCTGGTGTTTGTTTTTAGTTCAAAAGTATGGACTAAACTTTGTGTCTGGGTTCAAGTACCTCCAGAATTATATTGGAACACCGACTGGGACCATTTGAGTTTTTGGTCTGTGGCCTGCTCGGGCTGTATAGCTGATTTGCTTTTATTTTGTCTGGTCAGCAACCCAGGACCAAACTAAGAAATCACAGGAGTTTGGGTTTCTTACTCCATTTTGAGATGGACCAGTGCCTCCACGGTCCTGCCGCTGGATAGGAATCAGCACAGGTCTCCTTCCTTCTGGTCAGCCACAGCTACTGCCTATAGTCGACGGCTTAGTATAATATGATGTCATATTTCACTGGAATGTTGTAGAATCTAGTAATATATTACAATATCTCAGAGCTGTATAAAATGTTGTTTTATTTTAGTAGCTATCCTCATGAGACCACGTAAATGCTAACATGTATATTTTAAGGGCTTTTTTAAATTGAAGGATAATTTTTTTTTTTTTTTGCCTTAACTTTTAACTTTAGTTTCTTAGTTGGAATCTTACAAGATTTTGAATCTGACAAGAAAAGATAGGTCAAAACAGTTTGTTTTCTTTTAAATATGTTGTTGTCTTCTAAATATGGGTATTGAGCATAGACATGGGAATTCTTGAAAGATGAGTAATTCAAAAGGGGTAATTAGAATTTGGGGTCCATGTAGGGTAAAGGGAAAAGAAGAAGAGACGCTTATGGAAAAATCAAATGACTTTTGGGGAAGATAAGTATCCCTTAGGAGAATAGATGAGGACAGGACAGTCCTGAGCAAATGTCTGCTTAGGAACGGTCTAAGGTTTCATCTCTGAAAAGAGAACATTAGAATTGTCACCCGCCACCTGCCCCCGGGGGGTAGTGGTGTAATTTTCAGCAAACAGGATAAGATGCTGACTTCTTTTTCTTTTGCAGGTTCTAATTTGAGACAGAGAAGGGATTTCAGGATCTCAACTCTTCAGTTCAAAATGATTCTCATGTCCAAAGTGGGTGCATACTCTTGAGCCCCTTCAAATAAGAAGATGGTAGACACTGTCTCTGGTGCCTAGGGCCCTGGTACCAAGACCCTGTCAGCCTTGGTATATGGTTGTTTTATTTTGCAATTTGATTATATCATCATTTTTTACTAATGTTTAAAGAGTCAAATGCAGGTCCTGTCCATTCATAAACAATTACTGAGTTTCTGCTGCACTTAGATTTACAAAAAAAAAAAAAAAAGAATAAGAATAAACAGAAATCACATCCTATAAGGGACGTGGTCATGGGTGTGGAGGAGCCGGTGAAATACAGACATGTGAAGTAACACACCTTCCAGGAGTTGCTACGGGAAATCAGCAAGTGGGTTCTGGGCCAGGAAGCTCCTAGGGTGCTGGTTTGGGCATGTAGGCATGTCTGTGCAGCGACCCACAGTGGGACCTGTCAGTTAAGAAAGAGACTTGTACAACTGTCTAGGTTTACGGTGTGTGTGTGTGTCCAAAGTGTCCCACCCCCTAAGAAACACACATTTCACAACCCTTAGGTTTAAAACACTTGAGTTTTGAAGTTTTTGTTTTGTTTTTTTTTCTCTTTGTTGAGCTCTGAGCCTAACATGACTAAAACCCTCCCACATCTACCTACAAGCTCGGAGCCAGAAAATCTGGATTTGGGGGAGGGGGGAGACACATTAAATCAAGGGTTTATCAGTACGTATAAAACAAGGCATATAGGATTAATTTTAAAAGATAGACCTTTTTATGGATCAGAAAACAAAACAACCCACCACGATTTATGATGTAGAAAGAATGTTTTCTCATGGTTCTTCGATGGAGGGCCGTGGGAACGACGAACATGCTAGCAGTCCAGACTCCAGTTCATTTCCCAGGGCAGTGTACGAAGCAGATACACTTGCAAAACCGAATTTAGCCAGTTGCACGCCGGTCCAGTTTGGGAACCATTTCCCTAGCTGAAAACACGGGCAGACCTCCAAGGACTGGTCGAAACGAGTGCGGCCGCTCTCCCAGTCTCTGCTTGGGTAGAGGTGCGTGGGGACCCACTGACCCGGCGAGAAAGCTCCGCAGCATCCTCAAACCAATTTTCCTAGGATCTAGTTTCTGCTTGAGCTAAAAACTGTCTATATCAACAAAACAGCGACTATACTCAGAACCGCCCGCGAATTTCCCCTTCCACACATAATCCCGGGTCCGCTGCTTTCGATTATGGTACCCTCGCTGCTGGAACCTCTTTTGCAGCGGTTTTTGTCTAACTATATAGCTCGCGGCCTTCGATGCAGCGCTCTCCCCTTCTCATCTCTGAATTCCCTTTCTCCAGTCTTTGGTCCTTTTAGCATACGTGCGCTCCAGAAGCCAACAGACTGAAGAAACAGAGCCATAAAGACTGCGGTGTCTCTGGGTTTTATTTAGGGGCCTGGATTCTCCCAGGGACTATGGCACCACAGTGTAAGAAAATTAAAAAGAAAAATAAGAAAGGCAAGGGACTATGAGGGACCGGTAGAGGGCAGAGAAGAGAGAAGAAAAACAAGAAAATGACGCAACGTCCAGAGCCGGGAGGGTTTAGAAAGGTTCCCGCCCGCGCGCTTTCGGTTTTCAATCTGGTCCGATCCTCTCGTATATCAGAGGGAAGCCACGCTCAGTGTTTCACAGGCTGGTATTTCAGACTGCATCAACCATGTCTGGGAGAGGAAAGGGTGGGAAGGGCTTAGGCAAGGGAGGCGCCAAGCGCCACCGCAAGGTTCTGCGCGACAACATCCAGGGCATCACCAAGCCCGCCATCCGCCGCCTGGCCCGGCGCGGTGGTGTCAAGCGCATCTCCGGCCTCATCTACGAGGAGACCCGCGGGGTGCTGAAGGTCTTCCTGGAGAACGTGATCCGGGACGCCGTCACCTACACCGAGCACGCCAAGCGCAAGACCGTCACCGCCATGGACGTGGTCTACGCGCTCAAGCGCCAGGGCCGCACCCTGTACGGCTTCGGAGGCTAGACCCCCCGCCACTGCTTCATCCCCCATCCCTAAAGGCCCTTTTTAGGGCCAACCACAGGCTCATCAGGAGAGCTGGCACTCGTGGGTCTGACCAAATTACAGTCGAGCTAGGCTCGGTATGGTGAAGGCGCATCCTCAAAATGGAGTCGCCCAGTTTGTTGGAAGCCGCCCTACCAGGGCGTCCGTTTAATGCCATTCATCAAGCTTCATTTCCTGGGTTGACATCCTGGGCAGTCTGCTCACTGGCAACTAAGTTTCCAGTAACGGTGTGCGCTGGTTATTTACCGTTGTATGTGGCCAGAACCGCCTTGTAGAAAGGCTCCTCAGTCTAGGCAATGACTAGGAAATACTGGCCTGGAATTGCGGCTTTGCAAGTCTACAGTTGCAACGCCGCTTTAATGTCTTGTAACCAGCAAACCACCGGTGACGGTTATAATCCCAGCAGTTGGGGAGGAAGCAAAAGGATTAGGGGTTCAAGACCCACTTGTACAAGGATTTTTTTTTTTTTTTTTTTTTAAGCAGTTATGGCAGGAACTTAGAGTCACGAGCTGGTGCAGAGGCCAGTGGAGGAGCGGTGCTTACTGGCCTGTTCCTAGGCTTGCTCAGCCTGCTTTGTCTTTTTTTTTTTTTTTTTTTTTTTTTTTTTTGAGACGGCGTTTCTCTGTATCCTTGGCAGTCCTGGCAGACAAGGCTGGCTTTGGATTCACATCCGCCGGCCTCTGCCTCCTGAGTGCTGGGATTAAAGGCGTGCACCGCCTCTGCAGGTTTTGTACACGGATTTGAGGCAAGTCTGAACCACAATACCCTGTCGCCAAGAAAACCATGAACAAGAAGTTGAGGTAAACTATAATATAACTTAGTGGAAGCCATTCAGATATGTGGTGTGTTGGGGCCTGTCTAGGAAGAGACTTGCCAATTATGCCCACCACCCGTCAGTACAGAAGGTGCAGTTTAATTTTGGTAAGGCAAAAGCAAATTCTCAGCATGGCCAAGAATAAAGTAAGCCATTCTCTCCGCTTCACTCCCCACCGCTCAGATTTGGGTTGGGCATGTGGGTTGTGGGTTTTTAGTTTTATTGCGCATTAATTCTTTTACTTTGAAATCTTGTGCGATCTCCATATTCAGGATCCTATATAAGGATTCAACTTCCAATTCAAGTTGCTGGATTTTAGTGTACACCAACCACATCAGGTACACTGTAAGGATCATCTTAGCAATATGTTTGTAATTGTCCTACTTAAAGGAAATACATTTTTGGTAATTATATAGGTAGCACATATTGAATAAGATGGGGAATGTAGATAATTTTCAGAATCACAAAACTACGGAAATCACTTTGTTTTGGGAAATTGGCCAAGCTTTGCAGTAGGGGTGGAGCTTATGGTAGTCTTTGGCAAATCCGGAATGCCTTCCATCCTAATTAGGTTTTTAGTAAATCTGAGGGCTGCGGGGAGACAGCAAGAATAGCATTGGTGACCATTTGGGCTGAGGAAGAAACGGCTTTCCTAAAACCTGGATCGAAATGTACAATTCTAGTTCAAATAATGCTGTGAGTCCCCCCAGATGAAGACATTCGATTCTCACCCACGTGCTCCGAAACACTGGGTGACAAAGGTTTAAAGACAGACCTAACTCAGCAAATAAAGGAAGCAGGAAGCATTCCTCGGTTGAAGTCAGTGGTTCTGGAAGAGATTTCCAGTCCGTTAGCATGGCTCACTGCAGACCAACTGAACTGGAAACCTTGGGTGTTTGGCCCAGCAATTGGTGGTTAAGGCCAAGTTCTCCAGGTGGTTCTGACTCACATTTAACAACCCTGGACCCAGGTGAGAGATGTTTTGGTTGTTATGGTGATGGTGCTGGGCATCACAGGAAGGGCATTCTACACCCCGGCAAGTTGTTTATCACTAAATTATAACCCCCTCCCTAGTGTTCCTTTAAAGGAAATAAGTGCACGCTGATTGCCATGCACTTGTTATATCTTGGCTTATTTGATGGAAAAGAAAGCAGATCCGCAATCCACTGTTAAGTGAAAAATGTAGGTGGAAAGAGACACACTTGCTTTACTCCTCAAGCAAGCATCTAGAGGCTGTAGAAAAGAAAAGGGAAACACTTGTTTTATTGAATATTACTGCTTTGTACTTTTAATAGTACAGGATCAAATTTTAATCAATGGGTATGATTTTTTTTTCTTCCTAGAAATGTCCAAGATCCAACCTTTACAGTATTAGTTATCTTTTTTGCTTTTTGAGAGAGGTTCACCCTATACAACCCTGGTTGTCCTGGGTAGACCAGGCTGGCCTTGAACTCTGGCGCTGACTCTGGACTGCTGAGATTAAAGGCAGTGCACCACCACGCCCAGCTCTCGACACTATTATACATCTTTTTTATAGAGATTGTTATTTTCAAATTTATTTTTATTTTATTTGCCTTGGTGTTTTGCCTGCATGTGTGTGTGAGGGTGTCAGATCTTGGAGTTACAAATACTACCATGTGGATGCTGGGAATTGAACCTGGGTCCTCTGGAAGAGCAACCAGTGCTCCTGATGACCCATCTGTCCAGCGCCCGAGATTCTTTTAGATGACCTTAACAATGAAGTTTGCTCACATCTTGTCAGTCTCACTAACATGCTAAAACATGGCTGAACCGTGTTAGCTATGTTGAGTCTGTGAAGGACAAATTATAGAATTTTCAGCTAGGCATCACTTTGCACTAATAAATTCCTTTTTTTCTTTACCATCTCAGCCACCTGTAACAGGAAGGACCATAAGACCCATCATAACAGTGAAGAGTGTAAGATGCAATCAGACGTTTTCTTTGGTTTGCTGGCAAAATAGTTTCCATGTCCAAGCCTGAATGCTGTCCATGAGGCAGACCCTAACTTCTCATTTTCATCGCCAGAGTAGATGCGGAACATCCCCCAGAGATAAGTGCAGAGGATCACGGGTCTACCCTAAGGTTCTGCTTCTGCTGTAGTTACACTAGAGTACCCACTAATCCTGTTTCCCTGAAAACCCATTAGAAGTCTGACT